ATGCTGCTATTGCTTATTCAACTTCAACTCCTGAAAACAGTTTACGGATTCTCCGAGACACGGATGTCAATATATTGCTTGTTCAAACCCCCAGTTCAGAGATGTTCCAAAACATGGATACCTTTCTGATACTCGCCCACTCACCAATGGCATACAGTTCAATAATCACCTTCAGATGGCATCTCTAAGCCCATCCTCCTACCAGTAATTTCCAGATGGCATCTTTAAGCCCATCACCAAATGGAATCTGTAAGCCCATTCCTTCTATCATTACATCACCGAGTGCAAATTTTTTGGGCACTCTAGTGTCCAATCTCCTTTTACCCTCGAGTCGCGAAAGGAAAACTTGCCAATCTAACTCTTCAGGTTCAAGAAGATTGAACAGGGGCAACTGTTGTACCCCAAAATTTGCCCTCCTATTTTTCCAACAAGAAATCACAGCTTCAGGTTTTTCCTGATTTTTCAGATTGGCTTAAGAATCGGTCAAACAGACTTTTCTTATCAGTCACACAAAATTAGGGTTTCCATTAACTTTTGAAGCAGTTCAAGCAGATTGCTAGGGTTTGGTTGAGTTTGGCTCAGGTTTTGATCAGGAGGACGCTTCTTTGACATTTAATCAAGAATCAGGGTTTTTGTGCGCACATTCTCAGAAAGAATTAATTCTACAGTTCTTTTCAAGCTACTCTGGGATATGAGCTAAGGCATTTGGATTGAGAATTTGCAGTGTTTGATTTAATCAGTAAAAGGCAAAAGAATATGGACATTTGTTTTGATTGACTGTGCAATGTTTTGGATTATTCGGAACGTCAGACGTTTATTAATTGTTTCTTTTTCTAAGTCAAAATAATTGGATTTACTTCCAGTTGTTTTAATTTAAGAAACTCAAATGATTAAATAAACAATGAATTCAAAAAAGGAATTAACTGATCAAAAAAAGGATTTTTTATTCATCTTTAATGGTTTGTTACAAATTATTATTTGAACAACTGTAAATTTATTTACATCTTTTTTTACAATAATAATGTTACAAATAATTGAAATGAAATAAGATACATCCTAATTTTCCTAAGTCTTCATCTTCTATTTTGCTGCTCCCCGTTGCTCAATTATTTTTACCTGCAAAAAGAAGAAAAAGAGAAGTCAAAAGCAGATAAAATAAAAGAGCAGACAGTAATTTAAAGACTCATCATTAAAAGTAACTAGCCGGAATCAGTTGTTCCCCTCTCTGCAAATCACAAGATTGCTCTTGGTTCACAAAGAGGGATAGAAAGGGTTTGCAAAAATATGAAATGCACAAAGCTACAATATTGCACAAATTCAAATTTTCAAACAAACTGCATAAATTGTCAAGAAAAGCTGTCAAAATTCCAAACAAAGTCCAAAAGGCAAACTGAACTACATATGCCTAACCAAGTCCAAAATATCAACCAAACTGTCCAAGTACAGTACTGTCCAAAAAAGGTACAAAGGCTGTCAAAAAGGTAGCACAAAGTACACAAGATATGCAGAAAAACAGGAAATATGCAGAGGAAAGAAATATTGCAAGCAATGTCCAGGATACATCATTTTCCAGTCAAGTTACCTTTTCAGAAAAAGTAGTTTTAAGCAATATTAAATGCTTTTTAAACTGTAGAGAGAGAGAAAAAGAGAGAAGGGAGAAAAGGCTTACAGCAGGTTTGAAGCTTAAGGACAAGAGATATAAATAGAGTTATCAGAACATAAAAGAGGGGGCCGAATAACACATAGAGAATACCCAAGGTTACAAACTGTAACACAAACTGAAGTAAGCCTTGAGCCAAACCTTAACCTGCTTCAAACAAACCAAAAAAGTCACAAGCTTTAAACCTAAACTGCCTCCAAACTGTGTCAAACCTTTCAACAGGCCAAGCCTCAAAGCTTCAAGCCTATAACCTGTATCAACCAAAAGCCATCAAACTGCTCAAGCCTGTAACCTGTTTCAAGACAGCAAGCCACAGACTTCAACCAAACCACCTCAAAAATCCAAACATATCAAACCTAGTTTCACCTCAAGCCAAGCCTGTGGCCTGTAGCCAAGCCTGAAGCCTGCTTCAACTCAGCATCAAAAAAGCCCTCAAGCCTAACTGTGTCAAACTTTTCAACACTATCAAGCTCAGAGGAAAAACATCTTCAGAAGCAAAAAAACAAAGGCAACTCAGATTCCAAACACCATAATACACAGAGGCAAGCATCAAATACACAAAACGTTCAAACCAACCACACCCTCAGAGTAACCTCATCATAGGGTTCAACAGCATATCAGGCATATCAAGATATCAAAATCATCAAGAACATCATCAGAGGCAAAGAGAAGAGGAAAAGAGGCCAGTAATCAAAGCAAGCAGGCAACTAGAAGATGAAAAGAAAATAAAGCAAGAGTTCTCAGGTATTCATCATCAAACCTATAAATACAGAGTACCAGGTTTTCCAGCAAGAGCAAGCTAGCATCACTACTCCTCGTCTCCGGCCACCCTAAGCGCCTCCAAGCCACCGTCCTCCTCCGTCTCCAAAGGCCAAAGGTAGTATCTCTTTCTTTTTTTCTTTTCATACCTCATACAAAACATAACCACAATCAAAGAATCAGAACAAAGTAAAACATGCAAAACGAAAACTTGAAACCCTAACAGACAGAAATCAAACCTTGTAAACCACCGCTTGAGTAATCCATGGAGAGGAGGAGGTAGCGATGGCGCCTGGTGGCCATGGACGGAAGCATCAGAAACGTGGTTCGAGCGAGAAGATGAAGAGGAACGAAGACGAAGAAGAGCGTCGTTGTCCACTGTAACCCTAAGTTCCCAAAATGAACAAAACACTGAAACCCTAAAACAAAAATTGTGAATTGCTTGGGCTGGTTCGCCCTGTCATCTGCCTAAAGCCCATTTGTTCTTTCTGGACGCACCCCCCCCCCCCCCTCATGCTTCTGTTTTGCTTGGGCCAAGTACAAATTTAATTCTGAAGCCCATTTAATTCTTTTCTTCATTTTCTATTTTATACAAACTAAAAACTTTTATTTATTTTCTTTTTTAACTTAACTTTTTTTTATGAATGATACACTAGTTTCTCATATAAAAATATTAACTAAAAATATATGAACATTACTTTTTTTTTAAAGTTAAACAATTTTCTTTTCTTTAAAACCCTTTTGTATAGAAACTAAAATACATAAAAGCATTAATACATAAAACATTAATTTTTCTTAAAACATTTCTTTTTCTTTTAATTAAAACTTTGTATATAAACATCAATACATAAAAAATAGAATTCTTAAGCAATTTCTTTTCTTTTTATTAAACCTTTGTTTGTACATATTTAACAAAAACACAAAAAAGATAAAATACTTAATAATACATTAAGTTAAACATTTTTACCACTTGTAAATAAATCACATACACATTTACAATATACATTTTATTTCCCTTTGATTCTTATACATTGCTACATTTTACGTTGCGATTGATTTGATTTGGTTGTAAATATATTTGGACACCACTATTCCGATAAATCTCATCCCCCATTTGTAAATACTTGTACCCCCACTCCCAGATACTTATTTGTAATAGCGTAGACTTTAAAATTCCCGCAATTTATTGCTTTCAAATTATGCCATGATAGATCTAGGGTTTGTATGTAAATAAAATCAAACGCTAGATAACCTAATACAAAGATAAATGCATGAAATCAATACACTAATCACACTTGCACCCCTAGGGTAATCCCGCTTGTTGCCTTCCAAAATGGGCCATGCTTGCACGTTGAGTTTCTTTGGCAAAACAAAAACAAATCAAATGATCATAGTCCCTCGATGACGCTTTCGAAAGTTGCCTAAAAATGATCAAGTCCCTTCAAGCAAATTGCCAAAGACACTTGGCACCATTGCATTCATGGTCCATACAATTACCCGCGCCCGTCCCGTTAACATCCTAACGCAAGATTGTCCACCAAATACAATGGTGGAACAAAACTGTTAAAAGGGTTAAAACATGAGAAAAAACCTTTGAGTAAATTTAAGGGTAGACAACTCTTAGTTACTTGATCCAACTTGCAAAACACACTTGCCTACTTTTCAAAACCCACTTTACAATACACTTTCAAAAACAAACTTTCAAAAACATTTGAAACATCTTTTCGAAAAGACACACACCTTTGTAAAATATTCGAGTAAAGAATTGTTACAACGGTTGCCTAGACAAGGCATCTTTTTCAAAACATTTTCAAAAACACACACACACACCACCATTTCAAGCAATTGAAAATCAAGGCAAGTGATCTAAAACAAGTAACTAAGAGCCCATGGATAACCATGGATGAAAAGGGTGCTAATACCTTCCCTTTTCATAATCTACCCCCCGAACCCACGAAACATCTCAAAAGGTTTTTCCTGTGCTTTTTAACCTTTCCTTTAGGATAAAATGAAAAGTCGGTGGCGACTCTTGCTAAACCGAACAAGTGCGAATACAAACGCAAAACCTCAAGTCAGTTCTCCCACCGTATCACAATTATAGTTGCTGAATTGTTATCAATTGTAGTTGCTGAATTGTTATCAATATTGTTTGTTATGATTAAGTTGGCATAATTTGCAATATTTGGTATAAAAAGCTTATAATTTGACTGTTAAGTGCATAACAAAGCACATACTGAGACATGAGTACAAAATAATACTGAGACATAAGTGCATAACAAAGTACATTACAAAGTACATATTATGACATGATTAAAAAATACATTAAAGGTTCAAAGTTCATAACAAAGCACATACTATGACATGAGTATAAAATACATTAAAGGTTCAAAGTGTATAACAAAGCACATTAAAAAGGGAATAACAAAGCACATTACAAAGTGCATAACAAAGCACATACAAAGTGCATAACAAAACACTTGGTTCATAATATAGCATACATTTGTTTCATAGTATATAACAAAACACTAGGTTCATAAGACATAAGGTTCAACCAAAACACATTTGTGTCACTTTTGAGTTTTTACTGAGTCACGCTCTTCTGGATGTCATCCCATTTCTCATTTCCCCTAGAAGTGCCAATAGTTGAGTCTTCTTCAGGTATTACAAATGGATCATTTGGATCCCTTCCAGGTCCCTCCATATTCTTTGTCTTCAAAGTCCCAAATCTGTCACTCTTTCTAATTGGAGATGCAACATTCTTTGACTTTTTCCTTGGTGATATCATTATTTTCACCTGTTATGACAACATAGAGTTATCAAGGTAAAAAATATAACATTCCAAATAAGTCTATCAGAACAAGTTACAAACTTACAGGGTCACTCATAGTTGGGTTGACAGCGGGTTTAACAGGGTTTGATACCTTAGGAAATTTACCAATAAAGGTTTTGGGACCAGGCATATTATTCTTTGCAGGACTAGTATCAATTCTTAATGGTGGAATATCTAGTATGTCATCATCATTCAACAATTCCTCTAATTCATCAGGATCTATACCATAATATATTCTCATTGCCTCAGATGAGGTAACCGAATTTGTGAAAGGTGTACCCCAAGTTGAGTAGGTGTCACATCAGTTGGTGTAGGGTTTTCTTCAGGTTGAGTAACATGACTCATATTTCTTGCATTTGGTGCTTGAGACTCATTTCCTGCAGTAAATTGACTCCCATTTCCTGCGGTAGTCTGACTCCCATTTCCTACAGTAGCCTTTGATTTCTTATATGTGCCTCCTTTTTTGGTTGTACCTTTTGGCCCACCCTGCATCCAACATAATTGTAACAAGTCATTGAAAATTATATATGAATTTCTAATGTAAAGTTTTTGTTCAGTTTGAATTACTAACCCTTTTTTTGGATCCTGCATAGCCACATATTGTGTTTGGCTTCCTTGGGTGGGTGCAACATCTCTTGGCAGTTCACCTTCAACAACTTTCAATTGTTTGTTTTTCTTACATGTCCTTCTATTGTGTCCATATTCCAAGCAAGTCTTGCACCCGTGGGTTGTGTTTGTCCTTTGCCACCTTGTTTGACTTGCCTCATCTGGATCTCTTGTTCTGAGTTTCTTTTGTCTACCAGGACCTCTCTTGTAACTTGGTGGTAAGATGTTAGGGTCAGTAGTCCTTGGCCATTTGTTTTGGACATTAATGAGACTGATAACTTCATTGTAACATGAGACATAAGTAAACTTATGGTAACACTTGTGTACATACTTAATGGGATTATCTACCTTCCTATGTATGGCTGCAACAATATGTCTACATGGGATCCCAACCAAGTCTCAAAAGTTACAAGAACAAGTATGTTTTGCCAAGTCTACAACATAACTTTCTGTGAACATTACATGACTTACTTGAAATGTTAATCTACCTCCATATGTGGGAAGCCAATTAGCACTTTTTTCTATCTCCCTATCTAACCTTCTAAGTGGTTTAGACACGATCTCTCCTTTGTGATTTTAAACCTTCTCCCTAAGAGTGGCAAACCTAGCCATAAAATAGTTCCTAATCCACTCAAATATGGTAATTATAGGTTTATTCCTTTGCATCAAAATAGTAGCATTGAATGATTCACTTTGGTTGTTCATAAGAACATCACACTTAAAGTACAAGGGAAATGTATGTTTACGCCACTTATTCTTGGGAATAACATTTAGCCATCCAAAAGCATCTGGACTTACATCCTTAATTTGATTCATCTTATCCTCGTGAGCATCAAAATAGGTTGCCTTTGCTACAACCATTATGAGATCTCTGTATAATGTACCAACTTCAAACTTCTTCTTAAAGTTAGCATATAAAGGACTTAATCAAAACCTGTGTTCAAACTCGGGATATTCTTCCTCAAATACATTCACCAGTCCCTGCATATACATGAAAATGACATCAATAAGTAACATTAAACACTAAAGTAACAAGTAACTTTAAGCATACCTTTTGTTTATCAGACATGAAGCACCACCTACTATCAGAACCAATGTCTTCAAGAAGTAACTTAACAAACCAACTCCAAGAGTCCCTAGTTTCATTCTTTACAACCCCAAAGGCAAGTGGAAGATACTGGTCATTGGCATCCCTACTGACAACTATCAACAAGATTCCACCATATTTGTTTTAGGTGACATCCATCTAACCCTATGAATGGTCTACATCCAACCTTAAATGCTTTCTTTGTACCATCGAAGCACATGTAGCACCTTTCAAACCTAGGTGGAAAACCAGGAATGTTCAACTTAAATGTGTTTCCTTTGGATGCCCTCCTCAATTCAGCTCCATCTGACCATAACATACTATATTGCTTGGCTGAGTCCCCTTCAACAACCTTTCTAGCTAGCTGCCTTGCTTTGAAAGCCTTACATCTAATAATTTCTATAGCAAACCTTAATCTTACATCTGCTACAACTTCATTTAATTTCATACCTGAATTATTCTTCAACTTGTCAATAATCACTCTAGATACCCAATCAGCATTAGCATTCTTGTTGAAGAACTTTCTTCCATATTTGTGCTTCTGAAATAGAGTTTTAATCCTGAATGATGTTGTTCTCAAAACCCTGCTGCATAAAACTGTGTAATCACATTGTTGTTTGTCCTTACAAACAACCCTACACCTTGTCCCATCATTTTTGGCAAATCTAACATCCCTACCATTCAACACATTGTGTTCTAGTATAACCTTTTTAAATTGCTTCAGAGAAGAAAATTCCATTCCCACCTTGAATTTAAATTATTTTATAAGGTTTTCATGTTAATTAAACCTTATCATTGAAGGCCTACCATCATCACTATCATCATCTGCCCCAATATCAAGCTTATCTGTGATGTAATCATCTTCAATTACATGTTCTCTTTGCATCTCAACTGTAGTAAACCCTTTATGTATCCCTTGATCATTATCCATTTGACCTGTACCATCACCAGTATCCACCCTACATGTACCAGCACCTTTACCCATGTCTTCATCGAAATCGTGCATCCTATCTTCTTCACTATCTTCAAAGTGTATACCATTAAAAGAGTCTTCAGATGATTCATTGTCCTCACCATCTTCATTTTCCTCAACATTAACATGGCCTTTTCTTTCTCTTTTAACCTCTCCATATAAGTCTTCTCACCACTAGATAATCTCGCCTCTGTATATATCTTAATATCACACTTAATCTCCTTAGCACATATAGCTAACATTGTTGCATCCTCATCATTAACAAGGGGTTTTAGATCATTTTCAAGTGAGCCATGTTCATACTTCCACCATATTTTCACATCTTCAGTTTTAAACGATGAATCCATACCCTTAATTAAGTCACATGCTTCAAAGTGTGCCTAGAATTTGAGATATTTAGAGGGACCAAAAACTTATTTGACCCTATTTATTTTAGTAAATTCTAAAATTGTTTATTTTCTTAATTCAAACTCTTTTTTAAATACTAACTCATTTTTTAATACTTTAATTGCATTAAATTCTTTTTTCTCATGCATTGAAAATATTTTTATCATATTACATAACATATTTGAAAACATCTAACCAATCAAATATTAAACCTATTTTTTTACTAACTTAATAAACTCAAGATATTATTTTTAAAAAGGATTATGGAAATATCTTCTATCGACTGCGAACTTCGTCTATAACTCTGCAATTTACAAACCCATACTTGGTTCAAGGAGAATTCGAGACATTTCCATAATCCATAAAAAACACCAACCAACAACTACAATCTACGAATTGGGACTCTGATTCTTCATAAGAGGATACCTAGAAATACAACTTAAAAATCACGGAGAGTTCCCCAAATAAAAATTAAAACCCCATTCCGAAACCTTTAACCTAAACCCTAGTATCCTTGTGAACAAGATAGATAAAGGGTGCCTAACACCTCCCCTTCGTCTAAAACTAATCAACAACTTAGAATCTCTTATCAAATTAGGTTTATCTATTATATTCCATTCCCTAAGATAAAAATTAATGGTGGCGACTCTATATTTTTAAACCGGTTATTACACAAACTCTAATCAAACCTAATCTTTTACCAATTAAGATTATGAACATAATAAACTTATGAATTATGTAGTTTAAAGCCGTAAATCTAACAGCTAAACCCAAGCCTGTAATTTGAACGAGAAAGAGATAGAGAGAGTAAATTCGTGTGTGTGAGAGATAATAAGAGAGAGATATAAAATGAGAGACAAAGATATATATATATATATATATATATATATATATATATATATATATATATATATATATATATATATATATATATATATATATATATATATATATATATATATATATATATATATATATATATATATATATATATAGAGAGAGAGAGAGAGAGAGAGAGAGAGAGAGAGAGAAAGAGAGAGAGAGATAGGTAGAAGGAGATAATGCACTATGATATATACTAGTTCATTGTTATGGTCATCGCAGGCACCTAGGTCTAGTCTTTGATGGTGAACCACCAAAAGTTAGTTTCTTTCATTAATATGATATTTGAGTTCGGTTCATGTTACAACAATTCAGATAAGTAAAAAGGTAAACTATAACAATCCAATCTATCTTCTTCCTTTCTTCTTGATAGAACTTGTTCGCAACTAGATACCGCCATTATTATCCTTGATCTTCACTAAGATATTGATTTCAACCTTTAATGGACTTCAATCTTGATAAACTTTTTGATCTTTACTCAATCTCAAAATTACAAGCCATTAATTTTTATCTTCAACAAGGTTACAACACCATAGGAAATATCCACAATAATGGAAAAAACTTTCTTCTTCTTTTTCCTTCAAGGATCTTCACACCTTTGAATTCCTTCAAGATCAAATTTCTCCTTGCAAGAATTCAAGCTTCAAATGATATATTAGAAATCTAATGTTAGCTCACCATAAATCATCACACACACAACCAATACTATGGTTCTTCATGAACATAATGAAGGTGATGATTTGAAAGAATAAATTTGTGTTTGCAAACCTTTTTCTCTTTGAAATATATTTGATCTCACTTGCTATTGAATGAGAGTTTTCTCTTCAAGTTATGAATAAATTGGAATGAAAATACAATTTATACGTGCAAGAGAAAAAGTACAAATATGAGTAAAAATGCATTAAATAAATTGAGTCAAAGCCAAAAATGACACAAGTATTTTGATTATATTTGACTTGATTCAACAAGGCCATGACTATAGTCATTTTCTGTCTTCTGACTTGAGTCACACAGGTGAATGACTCAAGTCTAGCAAATAGGTCCAATAAAACACTTGGAGACGATTTCATGAATTGAGTCTCTTGAGGCATGACTTGAGTCAGACATGCAAAACTGAATGAATCAATTCAAAGAAAACATTGAGTCAATTCAAATTGACTTTGCTTGTTGAATTAAGTCATATGCCACTTAAATTAAGTCAAATAATGATACCTTTGGCCAATAATTCATAAATGCATGGAACATCAATATTTTTATGTGTGTAATAATAAATTCATTGTGGAAACCAAAAATTACAATAAATCATAAATGGCAAAGCATCAAAATATTGAAATAAACGATAACACACGTGAAGGAAATTTCACTCTCCCCCTTTTTTATGCTTGGCAAACCTTTAGTATTTTTTGAATGATATGGAGCTATGCTACCTCTGCATCGAATAATCATCGCATAAAATCAAGTAAAGTCGTTTCTCCCGCTTTAAAAAAATAAAAAAATGAAGAGGAAAAAATACGAGAAACTAAAAAGGGGAGACTGAAATTGCATTGTAGTAAGTATTGTTATTTTAATGTTTTGTCAATTATTTGATCTCTGTGTGTATGTAACTTGAGTTATCGCGTATGTATAATTTGTTTGTAATTTGCATGTAATATCATCCTAAATTTGTTAGACATGTGCCTTCTCCATTTATTCCATTAGATTTGAATCCATATAAATGTGTTTTTAGCCTTTTGCAATTTGATATAAGTAAACATATTGAGTGTTACTTGAAACTCAAGTTAGAAGTCTTAAATCAGTGTTTTTGAAAGGCTTGATTTGAATCAGGCATGTTGTGATACAAATCATGAACTCGCTTGGAAGTAAAATATTTTCCTATACCAGACTGACTCAAATTAGATAAGTATGTGATTCGAATCACATTGTTTCCTGACTCACATCACAAAATTGGTGATTCGAATCAAAGTCATCCAATTTTATTTAAAACCAAGTGTGATTCAAATCACAGATTTCTTAACTAGAATCACACATCCAAACTTGATTATAACCACAAGTAACAAAATTTTCGCTTCACTATCTTGATTCATTTCATTTTTTCCTTTGATTCATATCACAAACTGATGATTAGACTTAAATTACATTGTTCTTTTCCCATTTTTTTCCTTACCTCTAACACCTATTTAATTTTTTTTGTATCATCTCATAGAGAGGATTTTTAATAATTTCAGTCAACGAAACTTGTTGATCACACGTGGTGATCAAAATTTAGAAAAATTATTTTGATAAGCTAGTGAATCTTTCAGTTTGTTTATCCAACAAATTCATCAAGAAACCAATAATTTATGTCTAGAATTTTGAGAGAAACCATGAAATGATTTCTTCATTCACAAATACACTATATATATGTAAGTTTGGAGTGTGTCTAAGAAGGGGGGTGAATTAGGACTTTAAAAATTATCCGATTTTAGAATTAAGTTGTTCTTATTTTTCTGGTTTAGTGCATGGGTTTAGAAACATGTTTCTTTCTTTTCTGGTTATGATTTAAGATGAAAGCGGTAAATGCGGAAAACTAAAGAACACAAGAATTTATATTAGTTCCGCTCATAGTCCGAGAGTACTCCAGTCTCCTTTCAACACGAAAGAGATTTCACTATTGTTAGATCTTTGTACAAGTCTCACACCAAGACTTCTCCTAAAATCTTCTAACAACAAAACCACCAAGAACAATCCTCTTGGATCAACTAAGTTGAAATGAGAACAATCTTATCAAACTCAACTTTCTTGCTTCCAACAATTCTGGGTAACAAGGATACACACCATACAAGTAGAACAAGAAAACAATCCTTTCTATTCTACTCACTTGTTCCCAACAATCCTGGACAACAAGTAAATATAACCAATTCTGAAAATTATTTGAGTAATAAATTTGATGTATATATCAATCACAATGATCGATCTTCTCTTCCAAACAAACAATTTACAATGATATATTAGTGTTCAAGTGTTTTATGAATGGTAGAGAAATTTTTTTGAATTGAATATGAAACAATATGCAGAAAAATATCAAAGAAAGTTCAAGTATCAAAACACTTGTTTGAAAATGAATGAGTATATGAATTTAAATTGCAATGGAAGAGGTGAGTTTTAAATTTGAAATATATATATATATATATATATATATATATATATATATATATATATATATATATATATATATATATATATATATATATATATATATATATATATATATATATATATATATATATATATATATATATATATATATATATATATATATATATATATATATTACATGCTTGTACCTCAATAAATTAAGATCAACGCTAGTCTTCATAAAGTTACAATCTTGATCCATAACCATTTTTCTCATGTTTTTTTCTCATCCTTTGATATATGCACATAGTAGTTGTCTTCATCAAAACATAATGTTGAAGAAGTTTGACTTTGCACTATATAATTCAACCATGTGACTAACCTCATACAATATTGAGAGTGTGAGAAGTTTGTAATTGCGTTGTATGAGATCCTTATATACTATTCACCATCTTCAATCTTATACCAAAAAACTATTGTTGTGGTTCTCAACTCTAATGCTTGAGTGTGCCTGATAGATTTAGGTACATTATTAAGGAATCTAATATTTTTTATGTGAAGTTTTTCTATTTGAATCAGGATACAAAAATGTTTCTTGTTTACATTGTTGGTTGATGCTTATCAAGCAAGAGAAGAGTTTTTTTTCATATTCCAAGGAGGAATTTAGTGGATCCGAGTAAAGTTTGTCATAGAATAAAGTTAGGGAGTTGTCCTCATTCGTTGATAGAACAATCTCTTAGACAAGTCTTCCTCAGATCTGTGTAAAAGAGATTTCAGAATTGAATCTTGGAGCAGGTTATCGAGTCTATTAAGCTTGTTGGATCAAGATTATTGAAGATCTTGAATTTTAGCAGGTGAGTAATCTGCATCAACATGAGGAATTATTATTTTAGACCTGTGTTGACTAAAGCATTGGGTTGTTAGTGTTCAATTTGATAGTAATTTGTTATACCAAAATACTTGT